ACACATGGATTTGCAGGGAATTCAGACAAGAATAAGCATGAATCATACAGCAGATGCCTCATAGGAGTACCTCAGGTCTCACGGATGTTCCTTGACACACTTTGGGAAAGAAAGGTGGAGTTTCTGGAGCCCCTGCAGTGGGCACACGGATCCCCGTGCCATGGGCTGCATCGTGCACCCACACGGTCATTCCGGGGTAAGAAGCCCACCTGGGTCAGGCCACATCGGTAAAGAGCCCCATGGGAGCTGCCCTCTGCCCTCTGCTGATTCCTGCATTGGCATGGGCTCCTGGGGCCCTGGCTTCTCTGTATACCCAGCTCACCCATTTTCCTACTGGGTGCACAGTTACTGTTTGGGATGATAAAAAGTTTTGAGAAACGGAGAGTCGTGATGGTCACACAACATGGCGAATATATTTCATATCTCTGAATTGCACAAGAAAGTAATGAAAAGAGTAAATATCTGTTGTATTTTCATAATTAAAAATTACTAGCTGAAAATGCAAATTATGTTTAAGAAGTTGCACTCACACAAATCTCTTTCCCATCTTTATATGTGTTACCTTATTCTAACTCATCCTCATCACTAAAAATTGACAGTGATTTTATTATCTTTTTCCTGTAGGTTCCACATGTAAATGACATAAAGCATTTGCCTTTCTGTGTAGGCCTTATTTCTCTCAAGGTCATGTCCCGCAGGTTCGTCCATGTTGTCACAAATGACAAGACTTTCTCCTGGAAAGGCTCAGGGGATCGACTTCCTTTATGCAACATGGTGCCCCGCATCCCCTCTACTGCATGGATCACGGACAACCCCGATGTGGCAGGAGAGGAGAGGAGGACACAGTCCGTTCCTCTGGGCTCCAGAAACCAGCCACAAGGCTGCCCGTGGGCCCTGATGGTGTCAGCTGTAGGAACCTCACGAATGTGAAATCTCCCAAGCAGACTGAGAATTTTGCTGCAGTGGTGGCACTCCTCCCTTTCCCTCACAAGCCCCACGGAGAAGTTTGCTGACTTGCACACACAGTTTCTCCCAGGGGCAGTCACCCTCTCCCGACATCACAAATGAGGGGCAGGTACCTAGCCAGTGGGCCAGGCCAGCTCTGTGTCTGTGCTTCCGTAGTGTCTCCACGCTGGGACACAGAGCTACTCAGCCTGAGGACAGGAGCCTGGAGGGAAGGGAGGGCCTCTGCTCTGACTTCTAGAGGAACACAGGCTATATGCAGTGGAGGACTGTCTGCCTCGGGGATGGTCTGTAGACTCTGACCAGAAATCTAAGGCAAGTTGATGTACCCTTGTGAAGAAAAAGAAAGCGAAATCCACAGGCTCTAATTTTTACGTGTGAATCACAAGGCGAAATTTCTGCATCATTATCACTTTTTTGTTGCCTTTGGTTTGCTTTATTATTGTTGTTCTTTGTCTTTCTTTGTTTTCCTTTTTTCCGAAGAGTTCACACAGGTTTGATAGGAAACTGGGAAGAAGGACATTCAGATCCAGTAGCTACACCCAAGTATAGTAACTGTGCATTCAATTTACATTAGACTTGAGAGACTCAGACTACAGTGGCCTAAGCAGACTGGGTATTTGTCCCACTTCCCCATGTGTCTGTATCACTGTGACTAGCACTACTGCGCCAGATTGCACAGTAATAGTCAGCCTCGTCCTCAGGCTGCAGCCCAGAGATGAGCAGAAGCCCTGCATTGGCCGAGGCATCTTTGGATCCGGAGAAGCGGGTGGGGACCCCAGGTCCCAACTGTGTACTGGAGTCTGAGTAGTAGTACAGGAGATACCGGGGAGGGCTCCCTGGCTTCTGTTGGTACCAGTATATGCTATAGCTTCCAACATTGAGGTCCCTGCTCAGAGTGCAGGTGAGTCTGGCTGTTGTTCCCAGAGATGCAGAGAGGGAGGCTGGCTGAGTCACGATAGGCTGGGACAGGGAACCTGCAAACACAGACACAGCAGAGGGAAGAGAAGGAACAGCGCACATGGGATTAGGGAGCTGAGCCACAGGGGTTTCACTCTGGCTGCAGGCCCACGCTGGGGCACTGGGTCCTATCCCTACCTGTGCAGTGGCAGAGGAGCACGAGGAGGACGGGGATCCAGGCCATGGTGACACACGCCCTTCCTAGACCACAGAGCCTGGGCTGGGCTGCCCTGGGCCTCTCTTATCCCCAGTCCACAGAGCTCAAAAGGAGGGGCTGCTCATGCAAATGGGACCCACCCCTGCTGCTAGCTCCTGTGCACTTAGAGGCCTGCAGCCCGTTGACAGGAAGACTATGTGATGCACTAGTTTCCCCCTGGGTGGGCCTGGAAGAAGCAGCTGCTGGGACCACATACAGGCCCAGGTTCAGGGACTCTGTTAGGAACAGAGAAGACACCTGCCCTGTCCCCACTGGAAACAAGGGGTCCAGTCCTGGGGCTTTCTGTCCTTGAGGGCTACTCATCAGAGAGCCCCCATCCTGCAGAAAGCCCCAGACCTTGTCACCGTGCCCCCTGCTGGTGTCTGGGTGAACCTCTCCTTTCCCAGTGCAGGCTTCCCTGGTGCCTGTGTTTCCACCACCTGAGAGTAACCCTCCAGGGAAAGAGAAAGGTCCTGCTCTACATCAGGTATTGTCCATGGATGGGGTCTGATGAGAGGGTCACATGCAGTCCTAACTCAGTACAACCTGTGAACCACTATGGAGCTGAGGACAAGACACACGGAAGAGGCAATAGAAACCATCTGTCCCAATGGTACAGCTCAGACGATGCATGCTGGCTCTGGGTGCTGGATGTGGACAGGAGCTCACCTAGGGACACACACTCACCCAGGAGGACATGTAATGTGGGCATGCCGGGTCCCTCCAGAGCAGGGGAGACAAGACACAGCAAACCCTGATGAGGGTGCTGCAGGTGTGGGGACAGAGCAGGGCTGGGCATCCAGCAGGGACCACTGCAAGGCCATCTTGCGACCTCACCTCCGTGTTCTGGGAGACTTGCAATCCTGTCTGTGCAAATCATCAAGAGCACCTGCTAGACACAAGGAGAGGGAACCTGCCAGCTGAGGGATTGGGGGAACACCAGTGCCGTCTGGTGGACATGGGATGCACAGTGACCCAGGGCCTGGAGCTGGGGCCTGGGTCCCTGCCCCTCATACCCCCTGCTCACTGTTCCAGACTCTTCACAGTGGATTCTGGCACTAACACATATGCATGGAAGTTTCACCCATGTGTTTGTGGCCTGATAACTCATGTCTTTCTCCTGCGTCCTATTCCATGTGTGGACATACAGATATTGTTTACCCATTCTAAGGGTGCGTTGATCACTTTCGAGTCTTGGCAATCATAAATAAGACAGCAACAAACATTTAGGTGCACATTCTCGTTTGCACACAAGAACCTCATTTAGAGTAAGCTGTAGGACTGTTCTTTTTGCATTCTATCGTTAAGGCTTTGTTTGCCGTAGAAACCACTCACAAGGAATCTTCCCAAGTGATGGGGCTTTTCGCACTCCCACCAGCAGTGAATGAGAGTTCCTGCTGCCCCACATCCTCGGTAGTATTGGTGCTGTCACTGTATTGAACTTCAGCCATAGTCATGGGAGGCCTCTGGTACGTCCTTGTTCAATTTGTAATACCACAATGACATATGAAGTTGGAAATCACTTTGCATGTGTAATAGTCATTTTGTCTATCTTCCTTGTTAAGGGATCTGTTCAGATCTGCTCATTGGGAAGGCACTGCCCAGCACCAGGGAATTCAGGAGCTCAGCAGAGCTCTATGTCAGGAAAAAGGGAGAAAGTGAGTGTGGAGTCTGACACAGGACTCGACCCCAACACCCTGGGATCATGACCTGAGCTGAAATCAAAGAGTTGGACGCTCACCCAACTGAGCCTCCCAGGTGACCCTCAACAGTTTGTTTTTAAGTAACCTCTGTACCTAAAGTGGGGCTTGAACTCACAAACCCAAGGTCAAGAGTTGCATGCTCTAACCACTGAGACAGCCAGGCTCTCCTCCACTGAGTCATTTGTAACTCTGAACAAGCTAGTTTACCCTCGAAAATATGAACAAAGGGTGAGTAAGGATCACTCTGAAGATATAACTGAAGGAAGGGATATGGCACTCTCAGATCGTCTTATTCCAGGACAACAATAATCTTTTGGAAGATCTGACAACAAAAGTCACTCCCGGAACCTCTTGACAGGGGATGCCACCAGGTCTAGAGAGTGGAGGGAGAATTTCTCTCACTTCCCTATGGATCTAAAGCACTGTGTAAGCATTGGTACTATCTTGGCATATATGACACAGAGACACTTCCTTGCACACAAGATTCCAGAGACGTCAGAACATATGCATTGGTCAAAACATCTTTGGATCCAGAAAACGACAGGGCACTGGGATCTCTGGTGTGGTATTTGACCCTGCCTTGAATCGCAGGAGATACCACCGAGGATTCCATGGCTTCTACTGGCACCATTATGCATATTTCTTAAAACAACAATGATGTCACTTCCCAGGGTGAAAATGAGTCTATTAGATTCTTCAGAGATGCGGACAAGGAGGGTGTCTGAGCCAGCACGGGCTGGCAGAAAGAACTTGCAAACACCCGCACTCATGGGTGATGGGGCAGGGATGGAGGCGAAGCTGCTTGGAAGCTGATCCAAACGTGTGGACATAGGCTTAGAGGCTGCTTTGGATCACCGAGGACCGTCCTTACCTGTGTGGTAAGAAGAGAACACAAGGAGAAGAGGTTACACGGTGGTCCCAGTCCTACTGAGAACCCATGGCTGGAGCTAGGCTGTCCCAGACATTTCTTATCTCTTTCAGTGGTCTCTGGGAGATGGGGTTATACTTAGGGTTGCATTGTCTTTCTTGAAGCATATTTGGGTGTTCAAATATAGTAACTTTTGAGAGGCTCAATTGATGATCTTCCCCCCATTTTTTGCTGTTTCTTATGATATCCTATGTGAAGAATCTCTGGCGAAACCCAAAAATCATGGGGATTTCCTTCTTGTTTTCCACTAAGATCTTTATAGTTTTAGCTCTAAAATTTAGATCTTTGATCCATTTTACATTCATTTTTGTTTATAGTATGTGGTAGGAGTCTAACTTCATACTTTTGTGTGTGGATATCTAGTTAGCCCAGCACCATTGGTAGGAGAGAACTTTTTTTCACACTACATTCTTTGAGAACCCTTTTGAAAATCAATTCACCATAGATGAATGATTTCTTTCTGGCCTCTGAGATAAGTTTAATTTATCCCTCTGTCTATCATTAAGCCGGTACCACATTCATCTTGACTATAGCTTTGTAAGTGAGTTTTGAAATCTAAAAAAAAAATTTTTTTTAATGTTTATATATTTTTGAGAGAGAGAGAGATGGACACAGAGTCTGAGCAGGGGAGGAGCGGAGAGACAGGGACACACAGAATCCGAAGCAGGCTCCAGGCTCCGAGCTTTCAGCACAGAGCCCAATGCGGGGCTTGCACTCACCAGTTGTGAGAACATGACCTGAACAGAAGTCGGACGCCCAAACAACTGAGCCGACCAGGTGCCCCAGTGAGTTTTGAAATCTAGAATTGTCAGTCCTGAAAATGTGTTCTTCTTCAGGATTTTTTGGATGTTCTGAGTCCCTGCAAATCCACAGAAATTTTAAGGTCATCTTTTCTTACAGTGAAAATAGACATTTGGACATTTGATAGGGATTGCATGTAATCTACCAATTGCTACGGAGAGTATGGCTTCCTAACAATTGTAGTTCTTTATTTGTTTTACAAGTTAAATAAGGTAAAATAATAAAACATTCATATTAAACATCTGTTTATCTACTTTTGTCTTAGTACAGAAAAACTATGAAGATAAATACGGGTCCATTAGTAAACACGGGTTGTTCTTTACTCAAATATTTTATTATGTTTCTGGAAATTGTGAAATGTAGTCATAAAGTTGCTATTCTAAGGAATACTAGCATAGCAAATAGTTCACATTTACTTCCTATTTAATTTTCACCAGAAAACTAAGGTTTCTAGAGTTAGGAATTCTAATAGATATAATTTAGACGACTAAAAATAATAAGGAAAACAACTATGTGCTCCAGGAAAGTAAGACATGTGTTTTTTTGGGGGGGAAAGGTATGAAGAATGGGAATACATTTTGTGTTGAAGGAAAAGAAAAATAATTTTGTCCTAACATGAGTCTGGTTATTCAAAGAATCCTTAGATCGAGATCTAAATGTATAAGAGAAAGCTGTAGGAGGATTTTGGAAAAGAAACCTGGAAAGGAATTTTAAGTGTGGTCAGTACTGGTTCAAATTTTTAAAATATTCAGTGAAGAAGTGGTGTTTCATATCAAAATACATGTATGAAAAATTAAAATTGTGTTTTCTCTGGGTTAAAAGGTGAAAATTTTCTTGAACTATTGGTCTGCTCTTATTAAAAACGGTAAACAAAGGCTTATTCACTTTTAACCTTATCTGCCTAGAATACAAGCACTCTGTTTTGCCAAAATATTTCCTATGTTCATCAGAAATGTCATTCATTGAAAACAAATTATTTATAACATTTCAGAAGACCTACATGTTGCTTATAACTAGGTAACTTTCTCTACTTGCCTTTAAAATGTGTTTGTGTTGGGTGTCAGAGGAATAAACACATTTTCTTGTCAATTGCATCGTAATGAACTCTACTCACGTCTTTGGCCATGACCACTTTTACGGCTTCTCATGCACAGTGACCATGTTGATCCCATGCTCCTACAATGTGTTTCATCGTCAAGGATGTTCATGGAGAGGACTTTTGACAAACTTCGGGTTTTGATACCATTAGGATAGTAACACAGAGGTATAAATTCCAAGAACAAATAGGAAAACTGCATTCAAATGGCACAAAACTTAATACCATGACACTGAATGTACAGAGAAGGATACATACGATTTTCGTGACGTTTTCTTTAAAACATTGCTGCCTTTTAAAAACAGGTTTTTTTCCTTCAGATTCAAGACACTTCTTTTAAGCTCACTTACACATAATGACATGATGAAATCTACCTTTGTCAACCAATGAAGCCATTTAATTTTTTTCCCTACCTGATCCCTCCAGACCTCAGAAACTGTCAGTGACTCTCTCATATTTTTATGGTGATACATTTATTAGCACAAGTTTGATAAGATTCCATTTTTCTTGTAACAGACTACAATTGGAAACATTGGTCGTATTACCAAGAGGTTGACAAGAATGTCGTATTTGTAAGAGATAAATAGATGCAGATACTCAATATCACCAGACAGCTTTACGGACCTAACCTTGACTTTATGGTTTCAATGCAGCTTCTTGGAAGTATCAGCCTGCCACCTGCTTACAAAGTTCCCAGCAACTCTTCCAGTGCGTCAAGCAGGACATTTTCTGGAAGTTGCAGGAAACTTGGGATATATTGGGACCCTGAGCACAGAGAAATTGCCCACTTCTAGAGGCGTTGCAGGCTAAGTCTGATGGCAGGTTTTTGGCACCAGTTTGGCTGGACTTTTGGCCTGCAGGGGCTGATAAACGTTCACCGTAGAGCTTTCTTGTAAAAGTTCCAGCAAAGCAGGTTTTCAACAGCTATTTTGCTGTAGTTAGGTAAATAATCATCACAGCAAGTTCTTTTTCAAACTACACTTATTTTGCAAACAAATGTATGTCCATTTGGCTGTAAGTTGGAGATACAGGGGGCGTTGTAGAGAAAAAATTTTTTTTCAATAAACACATGAGTAAATACTTGATTCTAATCCTGTTCATTATAACCTGGACTAGAAACTGATTTCTATAGCTTCCTACACTGTCTGACTACAAGTCTCAAATGTAATATTGTTTTATCTTAATTTTTTTCAACATTTGTTTATTTTTGAGAGACAGAGAGAGACAAAGCTTGAGGAGGGGAGGGGCAGAGAGAGAGGGAGACACAGGACCCAAAGCAGGGCTCCAGGCTCTGAGCTGTCAGCACAGAGCCCGACGCGGGGCTTGAACCCACAAACCCTGAGATCATGACAGGGGCCAAATTCAGGCACTTAACTGACTGAGCCACCAGGCGCCCCTCAAGCCTAACATTGTGAATTTTCTCCCAGCAGCTGAGCTGGACTAACACTGCCCTTTGCCAGGAGTCGTGCAAAGTAAATCTGAACAACTTGCTGTAACTTCAGAGAAAGTTGATGTACCTTCACAGCAGCTCACACGGAGGCAGTCTTCATGTTCTTCCTCTCCTTCCCTTCCCCAGTCTCAGCCCCTGATTCCTTCCTGTCATGAGGCCCTTGACCTTCCCCATCCCTCTACCTCTCATCCGGAGCCCCAAACCTGACTATGGCTCAGTCCACAGCCCCTGCCAAGTCACACCTTCCTGCTCCCCTCCTGCTCCTTCCTTATCTGTGCACAACTGGGATGTCATTACGGAGCATCAGATCTGGGGTTCACTGTCAAACTCTACAGTGCTCCAGCTCCAACCCCAAAAACCTCATCCCTCCTCAAGATCCTGGGACACAACCTTCCTTTACAACACGTTTAGGTTCTGTGTCCTCTCTCTTGTCCTAGACACCGTCAACTCCCTGAACATGGGGACCCTTCCTGTCACGTCCACATGGATCCCACATCCCTAGAGTCATTGTGGCACACACTAGGTGTTCAGGAAGTGCTATGGATGCACATTATCTGGGCAGCACTGTATCAACACTCAGACACACCTGGACTCTTTGTTCCTGTCTCTGTCCTGACCCGTCACAGATCTGTCCCCAGGACAGCTGGCCCCTGACGCCCAGGAATTTCTCCTCGGTAGGAGAATCTCCTACAATGTGTTCCTGCCGAGGACAGGCTTGGGGGCCTGAAGTTAATAGAATATGGATCATTTGCTAACCAAAGTTCCTTGAAATTGTTCTCACACTACAGTTTACACCAAACGAAGGAAGCAGCTGACTTGGCCAAAGAGAGGAGGCTGTGAGAAGAGCACCGTTGCTGGGGAAACAGCAGATTTTTGTCGCACTTCCCCAAAGCACTGAGCACTGTGTAAGCAGTGAGATTCCTGTCCCACGCTGAGCCATGATCATCAGCCTCGTCGTCCGCCTGGAGCCCAGTGACGGTCAAGGAGCCAGACTTGCCAGACCCAGAGCAAGAGAACTGGTCTGGGACCCCCAAAAGACGAGTGTTCTCATAGATGATGGTTTTAGGGGTCATCCTTGGGAGCTGTTGGTACCAAAACACACAATAACCGGCCCCAATGTTGGCTGGGCTTCCAGTGCAGGAAATGGTGAGCGTCTGGCCCAGGGACCCAGACACTGAAGATGGCTGAGTCAGCACAGACTGAGCCAAGGACCCTGGAAGAAGAAGAGACAGAGAGGATGAGGCTGGGGTCTAGAGACAAGAGGAGGAAGCAGGGCCCCTTCCCCTGTCTCTGCATCCAGTCACCTGTGCAGTGAGCAAGTACGATGAGGAAGAGAGAGACCCAGGCCATGGTGGAGGCCCGTTCCTCATGACTGCTCCTGCCCTCTGTGACCCCACAGCTGAGCAGACCTTCCCTAACCCCTCCTTCCCCTCTTCATCCTCTGAGAGAGGGAGGACCCATCCATGCATGAGACCCCCAGCTCTCTGACCCTTCACAGGCCCCGGTTGGTCCCTCATCCTGAGGAGGTCAGGGGTGGGCAGGGCAGGGGCTGTGTGGGGCCAGGGGGTGGGGAGGTCCCAGATGGGATCCCTGAGCAGAAGGCAAAGGCAGTGCCAGGTGGCAGATTCAAGTCTCAATAACCCTCACCCCTCAGAACCAGGCCCTGAGTGACCCCTAGTGGCCAGTCACAGACACAACATTGTGTGGCATGGTGACCAGCGCCCATCAGAGAGAGCTCCAGCCTCCCCACTGCTCCCTTGCTTGTTCATGGGTCAAGACTGAGCTGGCATCTCTAGGACACACTCCTTTGAGATCATGATCAAGCTCAGAACAGTGACAGGTCTCCATGGACAGGTGTTCCCTTCCGTCCAGGAGGCTGGCCGTTCCTCTTATGGGATTCCTCCCTGGTTTCCGGAACTTCCCTTCCACACGTGTTCACACAGTCCTGAGGAGTTGGGGACCACTCCTTTCCAGGTTGTGTAGAAGCCCTCATTTGTTCCTAGAATGGTTAAGCCCTAAAAGCCTCGGTCATCTGTCACCATTTCCACCAGCTTAGAAACAGTCCTCCGCACACTGTGGGCATGGATTCCCTCCTATTATCTGTTCTGCAAGCACATAGACCCAACTCTGCAAGAGCTCTGCCAAGCGAGGCTGTGTGTGGCATTGACCTCAGAGCACAAAGGGCAAACCTGCAGGGAGTTCTAGGAGGGAAGGAGTGACAGCTGCAGGTGTTCTGACAGGGACCTGTTTGCAGACTTTATGTGTTAATCACCTATTAGACAACGGTTACCTTAAAATGAATGTGTGTCATTTTTTCCAAAAACTCAGCTCCGAAAGAATGATTTAAACTCAGTGACAGTTTCAATGGGAAGGTACAGATTCAATTGCGAGTGTGTTTCCCCGGACCCATGTTTCTTGCAGACAGAATATGATTTAAAATAGTGGTTGCCAAATGCGTGAAAACATAATGGAAAATACGTGACATTTAGTTCTTGGTTGAAGAGGGGCCAATACCTTGCTTAAATCACTTGATTCATTATTGTTATTACTATTCTTATTATTATTTTAATAAAGATTTTGCATATTAGGTCTGGTCTAACAGGTAAAGTAGGAAAGCCCAACATGGTGCCCTGGGAAACACCATAAGGAGCCTGTTCCAGTGAACTTCACACTGATCTCGCTGGTGGAATGAACAAACACAGAGTTTGCTGCATGGAACGATGAGGGGTCAGACTCCTCTCTGGGTGGGTAAAGCAGTAGTCACTGTGTCTTGTGTTCACCGTGTTCAGGATAGAAAAATTGCTCAGTCAGCCGCCGCTGATTAGAGGAATGATTTTCCACTAGCTAAGGCCAATTTGACCCAGAAAATTCGTTCAAATTTCCCATATTGACTCCAGCTGAGGTGGAGATAAGGGACACTGTGTCTCTGAGGTCACAGGCCCTATAGCCCCGAGTTGAGACAGACGTTTCAGCAGAGGCCTATCCTGGCTGGAGGTGTCACTGGAGTGTCTGGGGGTAACAGTCCAGTCCTGAGAGGATGCAGAGGGTGCCTCGTGTCCCCGTGGGCCTTGAGCTCCAAGGGAGCAGCACTGAGGCTGCTGTCCCAGAATCAATGCACTGATCAGCTTCAGGCGCTACCTGGAACCCAGACATGGTTGGGGGCTCAGCCGCCCATGGGGACAGAGACTCACCCAGGGATCCCTGAGCGTCAGCCTCATCCCAGGAGAGCAGGTGTTCAAAGCAAGTCCTGCCCTGCTGATGGGATTCCAGTGACACTCGCTGTCACTGGGTTTCCTGCTCATGGGGATTCTGTTTCCTCGATTGTGACGCTGATGAAGGCTGGGTGAGCACAGGTTGACAATGACTCCTGGGGAGACAGAGGAACCTGGAAAGTGTCAAGTCCAGGACACTATACACTAGCTCATGCTGGACAAAGCAGGAAAGAATATCCAATGGGAAGAAGACAGTGTCTTCAACAAATGGTGTGGAGTAAACTGGACAGCAACATGCAGAAGAACGACTGCACCACTTTTTTTACACCATAATCAAAAATGAACTCAAAATAGATGAAAGAGCCACGGGTGAGACAGGGAACCGTCAAAATCCAAGAGAAGCGCGCAGACAGCAAACTTTGACCTCGGCCATAGCAAATTCTTACTGGAACTGCAGGACACAAGGGCAGGCCTCCCCTCGATGAGCCACTGGGCATGAAGTTTTTTTATTTATTATTTTTAAAAAACGTTCGTGTGTTTATTTACTTTTGAGACAGAGAGCACCAGAGCATCGGTGGGGGAGGGGCAGAGAGAGAGGGAAACACAGAACCTGAAGCAGCTTCCAGGCTCCAAGCTGTCAGCACAAAGCCCCATGCAGGGCTCGAACCCACGAACCCGGAGACCATGACCCGAACAGAAATAGACAATGAATGAGCCACCCAGGCTCCCTGGGATGAAGATTATTTTGAGTTAAAAAGCAGTCAAGGTCCACACACACAGGAGAAGTTCTTCATGTCTCTTCAACTGAATAAAAAATTCAGTGTGAGCACCTGCTCTGGGAAGCCAGCTGGCACCACAGACAACTGCACTAGGATATGGACATGGTGGGGGAGACCGTAGGGGGGGAGGGGCAGCCAGCAAGGCCTGTTTGGTCACAGTCCTCTGTGTCCCATCATTTCCCAGGGGCCCTGCACACATTGTTTTCCCAACATCTACTCTATTCTTCTTCTTCTCTCTGTGATGTGCATTTCTTTGCATTGAATACTAGACCCCTACCTCGTCCATGTAATTCAGAAAAACATATATCTCATTTTCTCTACGTGTCTTTTGACTTTCTAGGTCTCTGTTGATTCCCATATGTTCACTATTAATTTCTTGTGTGTCATTTCAACCTCCTCAAGGACAGGTCTCACCATAGAGGACTCTCCCCTACAGGAGCCTCCACAGAAGCTTCTCAATAAAAGAGGCTTGGACACAAGGTCTGTGGACCCAGGGGTTTTGGTCTCACTTCCTCGTTATCTGAGTCACTGTGAGTAACGGTAGCTGCTCCCACTGCCATAACCTGTAGCACAGTAATAGCCTCGTCCTCAGGCTGTGGCCCAGAGATGAGCAGAAGCCCTGCATTGGCCGAGGCATCTTTGGACCCGGAGAAGCAGCTGGGGACCTCAGGGCCCTGGTGCTTATTTGAATCTGAGTAGTAGTACAGGAGATACCGGGGAGGGCTCCCTGGCTTCTGTTGGTACCAGTATATGTAGTAGCTTCCAACACTGAACCCGCTGCTCAGGGTGCAGGTGAGTCTGGCTGTTGTTCCCGGAGATGCAGACAGGGAGGGCGGCTGGGTCAGCACAGGCTGGGACAGGGAACCTGCAAACACAGACACTCGTCAGTGATGGAACCAGAAATGCAAGGAAAATGTCCCAGGATGCTGAGCATGGCAAGCACCCTTTGAGATCCCCCTGTGTCCCTGAGGCAAGCCCCTACCTGTCCATTGAGACACAAGCATGAGGACTAGAAGAGTCCAAGCCATGGTGACATCGACCCTGGTACCCACACTGGGCTGGGCTGCCCCGGGCCTCCTTTTCTCCTCCACCCTTGCCGCAGGAGGAGCTGTCCATGCAAATGAAGCCCATCTAGTGACTGCCCAGCCCCTCCCTGAGCCCTGGTGCTTCAGCCCAGCTGAAGGACACACCCTGGGGACCTTGGAGGTTGGCCTCACCACTGGGGAGAACCCTGGGAGGAAGCACCTGCATGCACAATGCACAGGTCCCTGCTCGGGGGACCTTGCCACACCAGAAGGGACACACGTGCCGACTTCCCATCAGGGAGCTCAGAGCCCAGTCCCCAGGCCGAGGCTCTGCACAGTTGTGAAGACACCACAGGGTACTCCCACAGCGTCCCCTCTTGGCTGACAGGCACATACCTCACTGTGTCCAACAGCCCTGAGAGCCCAGCTGGTTTCCTCAGCTCCTTTTGTTCACACATCCTTGAGCTGAATCATGGCCAACGTGATCCCATAGTACCGCCTGTGATGACCGCAGTGTTTTGCACTCTCAGAAGGAGTCCTGGTCTCTGTGAGATGCAAACATTACCTCCCGCTAGTGGTAAGTTGTTGACATCTGGCAGAAGATGCTGCAGGCATCACATCCCTGCACTGGTGTGCGATGTAGCATCTGTAAACCTTGGGAATGTTTTTCAGCTCCTATGCATTGTAGCGATGGATGCCGACGAGTGTCCAATAAATTGGGTTTTGTTTTAATCTGCGATTTTTTAGCTCATTTATTGGCTAAGTGATTTATCAAGGAAAGGGAAAACAATGAATTTATCTTTGATGAAGTCCAATGGATCAGTTTTTTTATGGCTTGTGCTAATGGGGTTTTATCTAAACATGTTTATACAAACCCTAGAGCCTGAAGATTTTTTCCATTTTTATGTTTACAACTGTATACTTTACAATTATGTCAATAATCCTTTTAGTGAATTTTTTTATGGAGTGAGAGTTTTTGGTGAGCTTCATTTCTCTCGATGGACATCCAGTGGTTCTGTGGACATTTGTTCAAAGGCCATCCTTCCTCCTATGAAAGGCTTCTGCACCCTTGTCAATAAGGTTTTCTTATCCATAAGTATCCATAAGTATTTCTTATCCATGCTTTTGTGAGTCTGGTTCTGAGTTTTCTGTTCTGTTACATTGGCCACTGTGTACCTTCCATCCACACCACTCTGTCTTGTGATAGGAATTGAATTACACTTCTCTACAAGTTGGGAAGAATTGTCATCTTTACTATATTGACTCTTCTAATCCTTGAACACAACATATCCCTCCACGGTTTTAGATCCACTTTGATTACATTTCCCAGCATTGGCGAGATTTCAGCATCCATGTCCTATACATGTTTTGTTACATATTCACCCAAATATTTCATCATGGAGTGGTTTTAAGTGTGATTTTTACATTGTTTTTCACAAGGTTACTGCTTGTATATACGCAACTAAATGATCTTTCTATGCTGATCTTGTGTTCCACCACCTTCCCGAAATTGCTTATTACCCTTTCAATTCATATATTTACACACATGTTCATAGCTCTCTTT